GTAAGAATATATCATTACATCTCTGTTTATGCTCTACATACCCACACTTTCTAGATAGACAGAAAATAATGGTCAACCCCAAATGATCAAAGTTCAACATAAGCTTCAGACTAACAATATCTCCAAGAAGACAATCAGTTTCAAACATTATCCCAGCAGCATTGCAAAGCTAAAGGCATACAAGTTTTAATAGAATTTTGGCCTTAAATAAATTTTTTAAATGGAGGTCATCAGCTTAGTTTTACTTGTGTTATGTAATGACATCTTTATTCCCTCTATGCTTAGCATGGCTAATGCTGGGAAACAGCAACTTTATGCTGCTACTAAATTTGTCCTTTTAAAACTTAACTATTGGTAGCTGCTAGCAATGCAACAAATATAAAGGAATGAAGCCTATATACACTTGTTTTCCGTTTTGCTACCGATCTACAAGCCAGCGTTACAGCATCCTTAGAGGCTCTGACACTTTCATGTTTGTCCCAGTCAAATAGAAAGAGGCACAACTCCATTTTGCTCTATCTGAGGCCATTTTTCACTACTGCTGATGAAAATATGTGGACTATGGCTAATTAACAATCTATGACAACGTGCAATAGGTAATTTAGCACAGCATAACACTTTGCTACCTGGAAGTGAATCAGGATGCTTTTATTATTTGAAAGCATATTCAGGAAAAATTGACTTTTTGGCCCCCAAAATGCTGAATATACTACTCTTATTTCAAATTGAAAGTACAGAAATCAAGTCACATCATTCATTTGCCAGTCTCCGCTCCCTTCCATCCATCAAATAATAATAATAATAACAACAATAATTAATAGTTTAAACTAAGTAAACTTAAACTAACTTTCCTTACTGTGCTTTCACTGGAAATTTGATGCCACAAGGTTCACAGATATTCTGTGAATAATTACTACTCAAGGTGAGTTATAATAAATGAACTACCCTTGTTATGACTTTGTCTTTCTCTACTTTCTAGGCCCATCTGTTTTCCTCTACACTTGATCAACCAAGCTAAGAAGACCTATACTTTTCCTAGTGGTACAGAAAATGTTCACAAATTATAGCCATGTCATTCCACTCACTTTTTTTTTTTTTGTTCCTATAGCACAACAAATTGATTTGCAGTGGCAGTAAACAGTAAAACGGGCTCTTCAATGTCTAGTAATTAGTTCTAATACTAGCAGACAAATTAAAAGGTAGCAAAACAAAATGTCTCCATCAGGCACTTATAATAACCTTCATAATACATACAGTAAATGTTGTGAAGACTAAGGTGGATAAATGAGGAGAATGCTGATTTTGGCATCCAGCTTACTTTCAGATAATCTAGCTCATCCCTCTTGGCTGACACCAGACCAAGAATAATATTAAAGGGTAATAAACTCCTTCCAGCAAACCTCTGATTCCATGGTTCACTGATCTCAGGCCTAATCTATCAATCCATTTACTGCAGAGTAAAAGCTAAGAAACCCATTACAGATCTGTTATATGCCCTGGCAGGTGGTATATGACAAGAACTGAATTCATCACAAACTCCAGTCCCTAGTACCCCATTCCTAGGCTTTGAAGCACTAGGTGGCTAGTTTACTTGGCTACAGCAGGAGAAGATACTTTGAGCTGTGAAAATAAACAAAATATTCTTGATGTGAAGGCATAAAGATGGTCATAAAACACTTCATTCTCTGTATTATTAAGACTTTTCATAAAGATAGCGTTATTTTCATTTTTGCAAGAAATATTGGCTTTGGGGAAGAAATAAGTAAAATCAGAGTAGAATTTAGAAGTCATGCTTTTAAATGTGGGCTTTAATCTTCATTCTCTGCTTAAACTATGTCTGAGGTAGCAGCATATTAGACTCACTATTCAATAATGGTGTCTAAAGAAATGTCATTTTAAAATTATTACTATCCAAAGAAAAACTCTTCATAAATCTATTTGCAAGGTCATCAGCCTGTGATATAAACACCTAAAAGCAAAAACAATACTGAAGCAAAAGCAAAAAGCTTCTTTTATATGACTGCAATTCCTTTCATACTCAATTTCTTTTCTAGGCTTATTTTCATTGCTGTAGGGCAACAGTTTCTGTGACTATAAAGAAGGTTTGAACAGGACTTATTTCAAATATGTCACCTTGAAGGTCAAGACTCACAGTTGTTGTTCCCCCTTCCACTGTCTGGCAGATCAAGGAAAAATACAAATTTTTTATAACCTTAAAAGACATATGGCTACATTCTTAACCAGAGTAAACTGTCACAGCTTCTCTGAAGTAAACAATTCCTCCGCGGACCTACCTGAGCTATTTTTGTGTACCACGCGTTTTTTGAATTTTGAAAATAGTATCATCCTGCAAGATGAGCTAACTGGAAACGTCAGATCGTTACATGCTCTGGCACAGATGCCAGAAAATAAAATAAGTAGCTAGAAACAAAGAATTAAAGCATAAAAAATACTCTTAGAAAGGAATGGAGGGATAAAAACCCCAGAGAAATCTCTGGGTGATGATGCTTCCCCACCGCCCTTTGAGGAACACAGAAAGTCTCCCTTCATCTAAACAACTGACTGCACCACCATCCAGGTGACCTACAGGCCATGGCCTGGTGTTAAGCGCCAGGGCTGTAAGCTTTGGCTATGGGGAAAGTGAGGTGTTCAGTGCTTCCAGATAGGTAACTAAGGAAGACAACATATGTTGCTCTGTCAAGCCTGCAGCCTTTCTTCCCGTGATTTTTAATTTTGTTACAGGACCTACAGTCTTAGAGGAGAAAGTGACAAAATGAATTCCTTCAGCAAAACAGGAAGCTTATTTTATTTTATGCCACAAAAACAGAGAACTGAGCTTTGCTACAAGAAGCAGTGAGTGCCATGTAAAAGAAAAAAAAATTCCTTTCAGTTTACCAACAAGGCAGAAAAGGAGAAAAAAGGGGGAAAAAAACCCTGTTTAATGTTTTCATAAACTTTGGGACAATTCTAATTCCAGAAATCCCGAAAGAGCTCCTAACTCTTTTTTGTTTAATCTCATCTTTCAAGATCATACGAGAAACAGAATACCTTCAGGGAAATATTTGAAAGTCTCACTTAACATGTATGGCTTTGAGTCTTGTACTTTTCAAATTCCATTTTGTTTCATTAAAAAGTATACTATATATTCCAGGTTCTACATGTTCAGCAACTAGTAAATCTGGGCCAGGTAAAAATTTTCAGTTTTCTGTATCTCAGGGAGTAGATAACTGAAAATCAACTAATGCAGCTGGATAACAATTTAAAATGTTTCTTTTAGCGCTAAAGGAAACTCTCAAGTGGTAAAATCAAAGCCTAAAGTCTTGCCAAAAACATTACTTAAATCTGTCTCACATTTGGACACCTACAACTTCTTAAGACAGTGATTTAACAAACAGTAGCTTCTTCCTCCATATATTTCAACAGAACCTAACTGCTTTCAACAGCATTCAGAGTTATCTGAGTTGCCCTGACTGTGACAAGAAGCAACCTGGAACATTTCTGTATTAGCAAGCAGCAAATGAGGGGAAAAAAAAAGAAAAAAATCCATAAAATATTCACTTTGCAAATTTTTTAGCTAATATAAGTAATCAATAAAAGTTCATATTCTGAGACAAAATAGTTTCTGTGAAAATCTATTTGTGCATTTTACTTAAAAAAAATTTTTAACTTAAAAACTAAGGATCTCTTTTTAGTACTAGTGCTGAGATATTCAAAGTGGTGCCTAAATGTAGGCACATATATCATGTATATACTTCAGCTAGTAAATAGCAGTGGTTTGATCTTGAAATGTTCTGAGTTCTTTTATGTACATTGATTTCAGAAAGCTCACTTGTAAAGAGAGAGATACTTACTGTTTAAGCACCTAAATAATGATTTACATGCCATCTCCAAGTTTGTGAATACAATCAATATTTATTATCCATTTTTGCTAACATTCTGAACTTTGCCCCACTCTTTTTGTTATGGAGAAGAAACTGATGGGAGTTTTACACTAAAGAAATTCCTATTCATTTACCAGGAGTGTGCTTGAAATAACAACTCTGTGAACACAGTGGGAGAAAAAAAAAAAAGACAGATGCAGTATTCTTAGTCAGAAACTCCAGCTTCTCTTCTCAGAGAGATTTATTTTCTCACTTTTTCCCTATAGCTAAACACAACTAATCGCTCTTTTTTTTTTTCCCCCTGCATCCTGATGACTTCAATAAATAGATACATCAGATTAACTTCCCATTTTCATTAGTCTCTAGGGAAACCCCTCAGCTTCACCCTTTAGATTCCACATTGACCTGTCGACCTGCTCTGACCAAGCTAATCCATACCCTAGGTGGCGGCCTTATGGACAGTGCTTTCTAAAATTTCAGTTACACGTGGTCTGAATGGAGAGCGCTTAAATTACCTATCATCCTTGACCAGATCACAGTAACTGTTTTTCAAAACAACAATGTGCTTCTTTAATGACAAATCACAGGAAAATCTTGCTTTCATCTCTCCACAGGTATGGAGAACCCAGAACGCTGAATCAGCGGGACTTTGCTACACAGGAAAGAGAACTCAAAGCTCACAGCTCGAAGAAGCACTGTGTAATGTGAGACAGTGGTTAGCAGCATCCACCTCAAGATCTGGGTGGAAGAATTGGGAAGTGACATTGGTTGTAAAAATGCAATCGGCCTTTCACTACTGCCTCTCTCAGACTTGAGTCACAGAAGTTAGAAAATCTGCTGTACCCTCAAAGCTGCCAGATTAGAAAAATGATGCTCTGCACTCCACTACTGAGCAGCAGACCTGCAATTTAGGGAATAAATTTGGATGTAACATCATCACTTCAGGCATTCATGGTCTTGAGGTGTTGTCATCATCTTACAGCACTACACTGTAAACTTTTTTCCTTCTCAAGTTCATTATAGATACAAATGTCTCCGCATGTTCACCAAGGGAAAATACATGTTGTACATACCAGGAAATATATAACACAAGACTGTTATGCAATTAATATGTCTAACCTTTAGCCAGCGATGGTTAGCCTCCTTCAGCTTACTCTCAAGCTTATGTTTTCTCTCTGGATTCAATGACACACTTCCAAGTGCTATTCCTCCAGTTTCATTTAATCGTTTCAGTATTCCCTTGTGTGGTGGTAGCTCTTCAACTCTTAACTGGAATAGACAAATACAACAGTTAAGATGAACTGTAGTAGAAATTTCAACCCTCTTATCTTCACCCTTATCGATTGGTCTATCAGCTGAAGGAATAAACCCAGTGTGACACAAAATAGCCACAGCTTTCTGAATATAGATGGCTAAAACCTAATAAACAGAGACTGCAAACCTAAAGAGTCCTAGGCAGCCAAAGTGAAGAGTCTCACGGGATAAAAAGATTAATTACAGTCATATGATAAATTCTAACCTCCTGGACACTCAACTGTTCACATATATGAATTTTTACTCATCTTTTAATATGGCAAAGAGCAAGCAGTTTGGAGAAGGGACACTGACTCTTTCATATTCTGTGCTGTGTACATATATTGTACGTGGTGAAAAGTCCACCAGTACAACCTCATAATTAAGAACATTCATATATATTCATAAAAACATCAAGTAAAGCCAAAGGAGAACTCTCCATCACATATGCAGTAACTGTAAGCTTATATTGTCACAGTAACTTGATATATCAAGTAAGGAAAACATAACTAAAAGATAAATTGCTTCAGCATGTTTTCTTTTACATAATCAACCAGCTATGAAATTATCCACAGTGGAACCTGATGTATTATTACTTTCCTGTCATTAGGATATATTCTTTTGTGCCGCTCCAAAAGAAAAAGAGGAATGTAAAAATGAGCTATAAATAAAAGAGGTTGGCACCTTTAATTTTGGACTATCTACCCCTTGGGAATGCTATAGTGAAATATTTGTGTATATATGAGAAGTGGGAACCTTCATGGAGCTAAACAATCATGATTAAACTTGCAATCATGTCTGCAAATTATAATGTGCTTTTTAAAACACCACATAAATAAATATTTCTTTTGCCTTCTTTCTGACATTCAGTTACCCAAGATACAGTCATTTCTACCTGCAAATAAATCCTTTCAAGTCAGATTGTCACTTCTGGTAATAACAAATCTCTGAGGTCATATCAGAAGTCTAATATAGCAATGGGTGTCTAATAATAAGAGAATATTTTCATTCAGAACCATCAGCTGAGAGGGTTATAGAACTACAATAAACCAGAAATAACTTGAAAGATCTCTTTAGAGTATATAGAAAGTAGCTGGAAATTAATTAGCAAAATTGGGTCTGGAAACAAGACAGAAGAAGAAATGGAGATCACTCCTAGCATCTCAAATCAGCAGGCTGGCCTTATCATATGTAAATTCCACATACAGATATTATTTTTGAAACAAAGCGTTCAGTGACAGTTGAAAGCTTTGAGGACTCTGTAGATTTCTGAAATTCTCCTTTTTAAACTTTTCTTGTCCAACTACCCATTACGTTAATCAAGAAAGGAGAATATTCCTAATTAAACATTAAATTTCATCAACCTGACTCTCCCTGCTAAACTTGGCGGTTAGAAGATGTGTTTGCTTTGGACGTATGAACACCAAACTTCCTCTTAGGCCAAACAGCCAGTAAGACAAACTCAGTACATCATTAAGTCTTCATTTTCTCAAATACTAGCCTGTACTCTTTATCCTATTTTTCTTTATTTAGAAATGAACTTGAAGACAGATTTTTATTAATGCATTTTTACATTTTTTTTAGATTTTGCTGAAGGAGGTTTAGGAGACATTAGAACCATTTTCCTTTGGATTATTTAATGATCTATTCTATCACTTGTCAAATATGTTCAACTGTGATTGACATAAGCGACAACCAGTCCTTATCTTTAAGAAAGGACAGAAAATATTTTAATCAGGTATTCTGCAAGCATCGTGAATTTCCCAACTATGGGGTTCATTTACTATTGTGTAAGCTATTAAACACAGTCATTCTGTTGGGTATATTTTATAAACCAAACAGAGCAATTTCTATTGGATATATTGGATGAATAGTATCATAGTCTAAAAGCTTTGAGATCTTCATAAAATTACTCCGATCTTAAAAATAATGAAACATGTAATATTCTGATGTTGATGTAGCTGGGGTTGGTGGGGTGGTTTTTTTAAAGAAAGCGTATTTAAGAACCCACCTCAAGGTTTATTCTAGAAAATGTTGCAGTGATATTTTAATCAGTTGACACTTATAGTTAGTACATTTGTGATTCTAGATACTCTCAAGAAATACGTAATATCATTTCATAAACGAGAAGGTACCAAGACATCTATAGAGCACAACTTCACAGATGAAACTCTGTTATGTTCAAATACTGGAAACTTGCAGAATTAAGAAATTATGACAAAAAAAGATTTAGATTAACACCTACAGTGGCAGAACAGAAATCTTCCTTTTTGGTATAGTTTCAATTATTTTTCTGATTTTAGTATGATCAATGTATGTTTGTACACTGGTTTTGAAAAATTCCCATGCTTTGATTTATCTAAACAAGTTACACGAATGCTGTGTTTGAGGGGAAAGCCTTCACTGAGGCTTCGCTAATATTTAGTTTTCCTTAATGTAGAACTGACAAATTAAGAAAATGATAATAATAAAACTCAAAAATACCTTCACTTTGCCAAGGCAGTCTCTTAACTGGTCGTCATTCCCTGGTTCAAGGGGAACGCCAATAGTGCTGTCTGCTTCCTCTAACCATGAAACGAACTTGTTCAGGTTGTCTTCAAATTCTGATAAAATATTCTTTTCTTCCTCTAACCTGTATTTAAAACACAAAATTATTGTGCCTACACATTTTTTTACATTGAAGGTAAGTGATCATCCATACTTAAGAACAAGAAGAAAAAGACTAAATAGAGAAAAAATAGTAACAACTACTTACCATTTATATTAAAACTTTAAAAAAGGGTGCCATAGATTTTTCCATTTCAAAATTATCAGATCTTTTTACAATTGATACAATTAACTGTATTTAATTCCAAAAAGAATAACTTGTGTCATAATTTGCCATTACAAATTCCTCAACCTTACTAAATTATGTTTCTGATCCCATTTTGCAAGCTACAAACAAGTCAGCTGGAACAAAAGCTGTAGATAAGTCAGACCAGATTTTCATATGAGGCAAAAGTATGGAAGCCCTCTGTTGGAAACTAAGAATTCTAGCACGAAATTTTACTAAATTATATCTGTGAAAAAAGTCACCTAATCCCTTTTGGACACATTGTTCAAACAGATATTTTGGAGAGTAAAAGTGCTGGCAGCAGTATTCAGAGATGACCATATAACATATTTTGTGTGAATCATTTCACCAGATCCACAGAGGTATGTATGGTCTAAAGTTCCTAAATAGGAATAGGATAGGACTCATCGCACCTAACAAGACTACATGTGTGCTTTGCCTGTCTACAACTCAGCTGTAGGTCCTGTCACGCAGGTTCTCTCTACTGAATACCCACCGGCACTTCTAGGGTGCGATACATGTGTTTATCTTAGATGATTACACCAGGAAGAGATGAATTGTGCCTACAAATTTTATCTTTCTTTTATTAACTACAAAGGAAGTCTAGATGACCAGCTAAGACATAAACATTACAGATGCCTAAAATCAGATAACTTGCATCATAGCTATGTAAACATACGGGGAGCTGAGCCTTTCTGCCTAAGCATCCCAAAGCTATCAGATTCAGAGAAACAATTTCAAGGGCAGCACTGAAGAGCATCGGGACAATGTGGGCTCTCTGGGCCTAACATTACACACAGGTCTCTTCTGAAGCAGAAAAACTATTTTGTGAAGAAATTACCCATAATTTATCCTCCAGACTTATTTATATAACAGCTGGGGTTACACTGAGTCTTATCTACATGGAAGGATTAAATAACAGTCTTTGTTGTTGCTGTTATTTTGTTAAGGTTATTTCAGATAAAGGACAGATTTAAAATCAGCTAAAAAGTTATTTTTACTTCTTAAGATCTAACTGAGTTGGAAAGGCTAGGCCATTTACGTATAAAAATAATAAGAGGTTGCATTAGTGTTTTAAGAATATAACATGACATTAAAGTGGAGAAGTAAGCTCAGCATTATTACTACATTATTTCTAAATGTAAAAAAAAAAATAGTATTAAAGCATTATGAAAGTAGTTTTAACTTTCTCTGTTCTCCCATTCTTGCCACTCCTCAGCATGATGGTCATTGCCCATAGAACATACTGAGAAGTCAAATGGAACAAAACCTATTTTAAACTACGTCATCATTTATAGAATGGGTTATTCAGAGAATGAGTTTTCGAGAAACTACACTTTCTGATGTCTGATTTGAGCAAAAGTGTCTCCTTTAGAGGGGCCATGTGAATAAGCTTCAGGTAACAGAGAATCAGTAAAAAATGTCGGCCTCACATCGTCTAAAAAGGAAAAAAGCACTGAAAACAATTGTTGCTTGATATAGATTAACATACACACACATACGCATCCGTGTGCACACACACACACTCACACAGAATCTGGCAAACAGCTTAGAATTAATAGATTAAAGTTTCTATTCAAGCAGAACAGAAATTTAGAAAGAGTATCCATTCATAGTAGATTGTATTAATATCCAGACCTCCAAAATATTTTACCCTCTATTAAGAAGTCTAATTTTAAATCATTCAATTCAATTTTAAATGGTATTTTTTCTCAATAATTTCCACAGAAGGAAGTGTTCAACTGATTTCAAGTATACCGCACTGATTTATGTTCTGTGCACGTGGATAGAAAGAGGCTTCCTTATATTTTAAGTAAATTCATTTGGAGAGAGGAAAAAGGAAGGAAGAAAAATTGCAATTTTTTAAAAATTTCTTTTAAATGGTAAGATGCTGGTTTCAAAGTAAAATGGGAGAAACCCTGGTTCAGTCAATAGTGAAAATGCCATTAGTGAAGAAGGGCATAAGCTTACCAGACTTTCATTGCAAAAGAATCATCTGACTTTATAGAATAGGCAAGAAATTTTTATGCATGAAGATAAAGCTTTGAGGAGCAGAAGAGTAATGCTGCCGGACTGCTGTTACAATACTGTTTTGCAACACTGTTTTGTTACACTATTGTTACAAAATAAAATTAGGAGCTTGCAATTCACCTATTACTTAACACAACTTCCAAAGTGCAAGAATTATCAGAATTCAGCTGCCTTCCATCTTATTGATATTTACTGCATTTCCTTAACCAGGCATTCTGGCAAGACAAAAAGTGCTTTACTTAGATGCATAAAATCCCTACAGGCTTCCAAGGCTCCTCTCTGAAATCGTGGGTTAAAAATCAGACTAACGTACCAAGAGTAGCCCTGACCAGGCTGCATCACTACAAAGATGTTCTTGAAAAAGAAAGCGCATCCATTTAATTTACAAAAACTGAGCACTTCTCCCAAAAGATGTCTCCAGCTGTTGTACTAAACGCATTCTTTCTTTCACAGCCTAAGTAACTAAGGAAGTAGTAAATTTAATGATATATGAAGTAAATACCTTCAATAGAAGAAAATCTTATTATAAAACACTACTGTGTACTGATGTTTCCAAATAATTATGAATAAGTAGCTCACACATTAAGATTGTTTCTTTACAGTACAGTTTAAATATACTGTGTTGTCACTCATAATATGAAGTGTTGTTTGCTTATCTATATGTTTAATGTTTTTGTAGAATTTATTTAAGCATGTAGTAGTAACAATAATGAATGGGATATCTACAATTAAGTGTTAGATATTTTATTTCCTGAGTCATTTCAATGCATTTGGACAGGAAAAAAGCATTAACTTCTGCTTAAAATATTGTGTGGGTAACCATGTGAATTATGAGCATTCTTAATGTATTTTCAAGAAGTGGAATTCTAGTGATTATGGCTGAAAGAAATGCAAAATGTATTATTAAGTACTGAAGTCCAATAACAAATCATGCATTCAGTCATAATAAATACTCATAGTTTATATAAAAAAGATTAGTAAAACCAACTACTAGTTTAAATAGAGGATGGTTTTCCTAGTTCAGCTGGTATATCTGTAGACCACTACTATCTCAAGCATTCTAGATGGACTGTAGCTAGATTCTTAGCTAGGCAATAAACTCAAATGAACCTTCACACAGGACTAATCACTGTCTGCTTGATGTCCAAGAATGAGCTAATGAGAAGTGGTATGTTCTAAAGCTACAACAATATGGATATACAGGGTTCAGTCATGTCTTTTGAGAAACTGAAAGAACATTACAGATACAAGGAGGAGCACTCTCCTAGATCCTCATCTGTTATTTGAATGTGTGTATTGACAGGAAAATGATGGAGACTTCCTGCTGTTACCAGACAAGGCTCAGGAGAAATGGTGGGCATTGCAATGGAAGAAAACATTAATTCTCAAGCCAATAAAAAGAGTAAATGTTTCGTTTTGAGTTAGGAAGAAGACATATTCCTCCCCTGCTCCCTCTGTGCTTTGAATCTTGATAGGAAAGCTGGCTATCTGCAATGTCGTTACCTTGCATACACTTCAGGGGGAATTCTCATTCATATACACTGTACTTTGCAAAAATAAAATCGGGAATCCGTATTCCACAAGTATACTGGAAGTGGAATTGAGTTAAATGGTACCCCACAGCCCAAAGAAATCCAGAAATAATATTTTCACACATATAACTTTTCAAACATATGACTTAGAGCTCAATCTTCCAAGACAATGCATCAGGAGACAAGGTCTGTAAGAAGAATTAGACCACAGAGAAACACAAAGAAACTAAATAAAACGAGCCCAATGGAAAAGACAAAGAGGTTAAAAAGATTCCAGAAAGTATCAATTGAAAATATTTAATTATTACTTTCTACTAAGACCATATATCTGAGAGTTTGCAGGATGCACACAGGACAGAAGTTAAGATATATTACAACAGAATAAATTAGCACTCATGAGATGCAACTGCAGGGTGACACAAAGTAATGCGTTCTGCAGCCTATACAGCCAGCCATCACCATGCAAGATCATTACCAGCGGTGTCAGCAGCTCTTTCCAGCTGTTCACAAAAAGATATAGAGCCACTGTGTTTTTCATCCTTTCATCAAGCTGTATTGCCTCCTAACTTAATCTATTTAGATACCACTTTCGTTTCATTGCATAAATGAAAGAGGGAAAGGTTTTTACAGTAGCTAAATTAAAATACAAGCTGATCAAACATAGATAAAAACATACAATGGCTTTTTGCAATCGCTACACCTGAAAATGGAAATAGGCCATTTTTTACCTCATGGAAACATTTAGACTTAACATGGCTGAAGACAAGACACACATTGACAGGAGTGGACTCTGGATTTCAACATAAGCTATATCTTATTTTCCTGTGGAATAAAATTCTTGCCAATATTTCCACGGGCTTTAAGAAGCCAGCACAATTAAATTTCAAACATACTGCTGTCTTCAAAAATAGTTCCATGCTATGATTTCACATGCTCTAACAATAGAATATATTTTAAAATGAAATACGTGATGCTACTGTAGAAAAAATGCTATAATAAAAATGTTGATTGATAAGATCCTTTATTGAATTGAGTTTCATCAAACAAGCTATTATTGTATTTATTTTTCACTTTTTACTACTGTATTTTATGCTTTTTTAAAATTTTACAATTTATTAGAAAGATCAATTATTTCATGAGCTAGATAACTGAACATAATCTGTTTTAAATTAATGTTTGGCCACAGTCTTCTGGCCAATGACAGCTAATTTTTCACAAAAGTGACATCCATTTGCT